TAAGCGAGTTCTCGTTCAGCAATTGGTACTCTTGTCTAAGCAAAGTCAAATAATCAAATCAAATAAGTTAATGGAGGTGGGCCTTAATAAGTTGACTCTATCATTGGGTATTCAAATCAAATAGAGTTGGCTTATGCAAGTTAAAGAAGGCACGTCCATTTGGGTTCTTACGTTAGCTCCCTTGTCGAGGCTACATAAAATTCCCAAATGGGTTAATAGAGGTGGACCTCAATAGATCCCTATCTCCCTTATTGGATTTTTGAATAAAATAGAATTTACATTTCTAGGTCAAAGGAGGCGAGCCCCTTCTATAAGACTATATAAGATTCCAAACAAGATAGTGTAGGTAGACCTCACTAAGTCCCTAGCTTCCTCGTCGGGTCTTCGAATCAAATAGAGTTAGCCCGTGAGAATCTAGTGAGGTAAGATGCCCTTCGAGTTTTTAGCTTGGCTCCTTTGTTGAGACTTTAGTAATATGATCATATCAAATAGTGAGGTATTTGTGAAACAATCATCTTACAAGGTGAGGCACATGTAATAAGAAATCTCTGACCCCGCGCTAGTATCAAAGAGCAGGGACTCATGGGCTCGACTTTAACAGTATGATAATTACGATCCGATCTTAAAGTGCAAGGATATATGTATTCACATTTAATAATAAGAATTTTACAAAATGTTAGAAAGAGGAACAATCATCTTGCGAAGAAGAAATAATTGGTTCGACGAGCAATTATCCTATGAGGCTGAGAAATCTCATGAAGCAAGATATCTTGTTAATTGTGAAATAACCGGAACAATTATCTAAGAGGTCAAACATATCGCGAGACAAGGAGTAAAAGAATCATCCATTGAGGTCGAGAATAGATTTCGGATCACCTTATGAAGCGAAGAATACGTATAATAAGTGAAACGATAATCTGTCGAGGCAAGGCATCTTGTGAAGCGAGAAATAAAAAGAGCAATTATCTAGCGTGACGAGGCATCTCATGAAGCAAGGATTGGATAGAAAAATCATCGTACGAGGTGAGATATATCAAGTGAGGAATATGTGAAAAAATTATCTCACCAGTCAGGGAATAAGTGGAACAATCATCTTACAATGCATGGAATGAGTAGAACAATAGGAAATTTTCACAATAGGGCCACACTCGAAATTTAGGGTCCGTTTAATTGCAAAAATGGAATATGGATGGAAAAAAAACGAATTTCAGAAAATTAAATTGTCTAGAACTTGTTTTATTAGAAATTGTCAATTAATGTGTTTGATTGGTATAATTTTTCACTTGAAAAATGTAAAAATTTTGGATCTTTTGGTGTTCGTTTGGCTTTGTTTTCCATGAAAATTATCAATTAAAGGGATAATTTTTTTTACAATTGTGGATGGAATTTGTTCCCATTGCTAAAAATAAAATTAAAAAGAAAAATGAAAACTGAAAAACCCAATTCCCACCAAAAATGATTTTCCTTAAAAAGCAAGAAAAAATGTCATGTGAGCCTTCCGTGGAAAACCAATTTCTTAGAACTTTTGACTATCAAACGACCCAAAATGATGGAAAATGGAATTTTCCATGAAAAATGGAACCAATCAAACAACCTTAATATCAAACCTATTGGGCCCATTTTAATCTCAATAGTACGAATAAAACTGGACGTCCAGGGGCCTGGACGTCCAGGCACCTATTTGGCGCCCCCTTATTGGGGGGTCGTCTGACAGTGACAGGCGACCCCCCAATAGGGGGGCGCCAAATAGGCCCCTGGACGTCCAGCACGTCCCCAATAGTACTGACAGCCCAACTAAAAAAAATAGAAATAAAAATATTACTTTTCCGCACCACTATATTTTATTATTATTTTTTAATAATCTAAGCATGAAATTATGACCTTCCACCTTGGTCGGATAATTATTTTGGCCGCCATAAAGCTTGATGGTCTCAAAAAAATTGAAATATGATTCATATTTACAACATCATAATTTTTGAAATTCTTGTGTCGTGAATACGCCCGATATCTGAAGAAGCCAAGAGAACCGTATACAGTTAAAATAATAATGTAATTTCTATAATATGTGATTTAACATATTGTTTGATTAAATCGATCAACAAGTTATTGTTAAAAAAAAATATTCAATCTGAAACAATATTTACCAATAATTTAACATATTTCCTTCAATCACTTTTATTGCGCAAAAATTATAATCAATATCTATAATTAATGATTATGTATCATCATTTGGAGACGTTGCTATGATTATTTTATTTTATCGCATTGAAGGTGTTTGACAATTTTTTACAAGAGGAATTTATCAAAATGTCACTTTTTTTGAAAATACACAAAAAACTTTGATGTGCACACAATTTGTACAAAAATGTCACTTTCTTGTTGTCAAATATTTAAATTACCCTTAATTTGACCTTTTTGGAGCATTTAATGCTCCTTCATGATTGTTTTTCAAAATAATTAATGTTGTGATTTGATTGTTTAATTTGTATATTATAATAATTGAATTTATGAATCTTATATTGTAAAATACGATTTTAGTTAATAAAAAATGAATATAAAATCCTTCAAAACCCTAGTTAACATTAAAAAACAAATTTCTTGTCAAAGAAACCCTTATTTCATTCATCTTCTTCATCCATTTTCTTCTTCCTCAAAAAGACATTACTTCATCCATCTTCTTCATCTATCTTGAAAGGTCAGTTATTACGAATTGTTTATATTTCTATGTAATAGCTTACTTTTTTTAGAATGTTAAAAACAACATGGTAATCACTACTATTAATCATGATGGTCTTGTTTTTTTAATATTTTTGAAGGAAAAACATACCAAAAATATTTTGAAAAATGTGAAGTATTCCATATTTAATGAAGCATTCAGTCATTTATTTCTGGAAATAGGTTCTGATGTTGTAGTTGTTGTAGTTGAGAAATGATTATAAGCATTAATGCTACCAAACACATTTGAAGCTTCCCGACAGTTCCGACACTTGAACTGTCGAACTTGACATTTCGAAACTGTCGGGATCGACATTTGAACTGTTATACCCGACATTTATAAACTATCGGGATAGATAACTAAACTGTCGAATTGGACAGTTAAAAATTCTTGACACCCTTCATTTGACCTTGTTGTATTGCATAGGTTTAAATATTGGAACGTGTCACTTCCATGCTATTATATAGTGGACATTTTGATTGCGCATAATTCTTATCGTTGCAATCCCAACATTTCAGGTATGAATAATAATTTGAGATTCATCGTGTCGCACGGGAGAAAGTTTGATCATGTGAATGACGAATGGAAGTGGACAGGGGACAAAACCACTTCCATTTTAGTGCCGAACAGTATTAAACTACCGGGGCTATTGTTACGGTTGAACGAAAAACTTGGCATTTTCGATCCACGCACAAAAATGGAATTGAAGTTCAAAGTTCTGAACATGAATATACTGCCAGCCGAAATACTCGAAGATGAAAACGTAAATTGGTACATATCAGTTCATAAGGAAATTGTCCTCTGCGTTACGACTTTGGAAATCGGTTTGCCAAGTGTTGAAATGGAGAGGAATACAAATTATAGCCAACAATTGTTCGCCGCAGCGGAAGATCACCAAACCGTACAGGACGACGAGCTCAATCATTAGCACAGTGTCCCAAACAATAATGCAGCGGATGTTCCAATTTTCGATGTTGGGACTGCACCATTAGATGAGATGTTGGATGATCCCTTACATGGTACAAATACTGGTAACATTGCTGACGTTGACGAAGAACTATTATCACATTCCAAAAGTTTGGATACATGCGACTGGATTTCCACTGTGAATACGTCGGATCTTACCGAAAGGTAAATATTTTTTACCAAAAAAGAGTTGTACTCAAGAATTCGTCTACTTGCTTTGCGAGAGAAGTTTCAATTTCAGGTTAGCAGGTCAAGCCTAAAAATGTTAACCGTTGTATCCACGGACGATAATTGCAAGTGGATATTACGTGCTTCGAGTGTCAAGCAGTCTGCCATCTTCATGATCAGCAAATTCAACAATGTGCACACATGTTCCATAGATTATCGCCGTAATGCACATCGACATGCCACTAGTTCCGTAATTGCCGAGCAGATTATGGGGAAATTGGATAATACGTACGGATTGTATGATCCTACCGCTATTGCTCGTGACATGGAACGTGAGTTTGGTGTGAAAATTAGTTACCATCAAGCACGTAGGGGAAAGGTCGCTGCTTTACATATGCTACATTGTACACCGGGTGATAGCTTTCAAAAACTTTCTTCCTACTGTCACGTCCTAGGAGAGAGTAACCCGGGGACAGTAACATACATCGAAGTAGATTCTCGTAACAGGTTTCACTACCTTTTCCTAGCTTTCGGTGCAAGCATTCGGGGTTACCTGCACTACGTGAGGCCCGTTATTTATGTTGATGGCAGTCACTTGAAAGGTCCGTACAAAGGTACCCTTCTACTGACAACTGCCGAAAGGAATAGATCATGGATGTGATTTTTATCAAATTTGAAAGATCTTATAGGTGACTCGGACGAATTGGTGTTTGTTTCCGACAAGAAAAATAGTATTGAAAACGTCATTGCCCACCTATTTCCTCAAGCTCACCACGGGTGCTGTGTCTGGCATATGAATTTAATCTAGCAGTACAACAACGCAAATTCAATATTTCTATTCAAAAGAGCCACAAGAACTTACCGGACCAAAGAGTTTGAAACACTTATGGGACAGTTTCGTAGGGTAAGTGCAAGAGCGTACGGGTACATGGAGCGAGTAGGTTTCCCATTTTGGTCACGAGCACTATTTGTTGGCCAACAGTACAACATTTTGACCAACAACAACGCAGAATCTTTAAATTCAATGTTGAGACATGCCTGTTCGATACCGATCACGTGCTTAGTGGAACACATTCGGCATACTATGCAAAATTAGTTTTATGAACGTCGAGCAAGTGCAACCACATGCAGTACCGTTCTGTCACCAAAGATGGAGAATGAGTTACGGACGACATTCGAAGCAGGTACTAGGCTGAGAGCACATGGCTTGACAAATAACTTAACACAAGTTGGAATATCCAACGACATTGACATTGTAGACTTCTCCGAAAATACGTGCACTTGTTGTGAGTTCCAACTGAATCGTATGCTGTGCGTTCACGCAACCCATGCTGCTTGCTTGAGAGGTAAGTTATTGTACAATCTCTGCTCACCGTATTACACATTCGAGTACTGGAAGGGTGCCTATGGAGAAGCTATATATCATATTTTACGTGAAGTGGATTGGAATGTTCCAGTCGAAATTATAGGTACTCCTATTATGCCCCCCAGTGTACATCGTCTTCCAGGTAGACCACCCATACGACGTAAGCGATCCAGACACGAGTGTACCCACGGCTCAGGAAATGCACTCGCTGGGTGGACTTGGTCATAACCGGACCACATGTTCGAACCACACTATACCACGTCCGATGTAAGCAGCATTTTGCATGTGAGTGGTTGAAGTTGTAAGTGAAGTGTTCCCCCGATGTCGTTTGTTTATGACAATGTAAATATTGTATTACTATTTTCATTCTCTTACGCATAAACATTACTCTTTCTTATGTTCACAATTACAGTACGCAAATAGGCACAACGTACTGCATAACAGCCTCGAACCAAAAGAAAATTTTGTTGTGCGTAATATTGTTGCCATTGTTGACACATGTAAATTGAATGTACGGAATACGAAACGTTCAACCATTATACATGTTTCCTTTCAAATGCATATTACAAACACATAACTTTTTGCGCATAACACTGTCCGCATTGTTCATAAAGTACGTTGACTGTACACATGAGGTTGTGTTCGTTCACCCAAAATACATGTCATATGAATATGTATGCTACATACATAGAAAATTTGCCAGTAAACCCCGACAGTTCACCTGTCGTTCTCGACAGATGGTGCCTGCTATTCTCGACAGTTGTTCGATGCTCCGCTTAACAAAATACACATAACTTACCCACGAGAGTTTACTACATGCTACAGAATTGGTACATATGTAACAAAATTCATCCCTTACAAAAAAGTACTATACATAGATACGTAGAAACCCACACACGCAACGAAGTCGGACTCTTCACTCAGAGCTAACACTTGAACCTTCTTTCCCACCGTAATTATCCGAACTGATGACAATTACCTCGGGCGATGGAACGCAACCCTGTCCCTCATCCTTGTGACGTTCAACTTCATCTGCATCCATAAATGGGACAACCCATTCAAGCACATTTGTCGGAGACTCACCTGTATCACTTGCAACTTCGTCCAGGTTCGGAAATGGAATAACGGTGATGGCTCTCCTACCACCATTCGAACTCACTTCCTCATTGTCCGAAGAAATTACTATGAGACATAGCGGGATTGAACCAGGTGTCGACAAAGGCTCCTCAACTACCAGCGGTGAATTGCTTCCCGTGGATGATGCCATTGTTTTCATATGAAGAAACAGACTTCAAATACTGTGATACGTTCCTGCTACAAGATGCCTCACAAAGAGTCTCATATATCCCACTTAAAGAGTGCAAGCCATGCTTTATACTGAAGGTATTTGAGGACATTTAAAGCAATTTAACAACCAACCACCATTTCATTTCTACTTAACACTTGATTGACCATTAGTGTGATGGTTAAGGGTGTAAATGTACTTTAATGCAGTCCATAAATGGTGAGAATTATGAGTAAATTGTACCTATGTGCAAGACCTGCAATGCCTACATAGGTAGCTGGATTGACAATCAATTTTGAAGTTAAATTACTTTACTGAATTTTTGTAGTCCTTAGTCATAATTGAATACAGTTTTGTAAATTCTAAATCATATGAATTGCATTAAAAATTGATAAAATTAATGTCTCTGCCAATGAAGATGAACATTGGGTGACACAACATGCCATTTCTCAAATAAACTTTAATTTGTACGAACAAGCAAATTTATACTAAAACGCATGTTGAAATAAACATACACCGGTTTTAATGTTGGGGCCAACGTAGCAAACGAATTATTTATACTACGGTAATGCGAATTTGACAATAATCGTTGTCCTCGATCCTTCGACCACGCTCCATTACACACAAAATCATTACATACCATGATTCATTTCTGCAGGTATAACACCTCCAACTCCAATAAAATTAAAGTACAAAATACTACTACTTCACCAAGTAGCATGAACATCAATTTAACTAGGGTACAAACAAATGTCATGTCTCAATGTCCGTTCCACTTAACCATATCCCAACATGGAATTTAAGTAATCTCATTACCCCCTTGAGATTATTAACCACATCATATGGAATAGGAGTAATAGTCTCCACAGTTGCACCTTCACGCATGAACCTAGGTTTGATCTCTTTGGCTGTTTTTTGGTGCTAATCACTACACCTGTTGATTTAGCCTTAACCTTCATTTTGTTTGTACTCTTCATCATTTTGCAAAAATTCGTCATCGACATGATGAACTCAAAAATCAGCCCTCCGAATGAATTTGCTGCCTACCTGCATCAGGTGTCTGCTACAATGAAATGACACAACAGAGAATGCTCGTAACTATCCATCCAATCAACATAAAAACCAAAAAAATTACTTACCCATGGAGTACGAAACGTGCATGCAATCTATTCATTTTAATTGTGATGTTGATCTACCATTTCACATTTCATGAACAATACATGCATTATTTTGTCAATGCATACACACAAAATAGACCGACAACACCATCTCATGCTTGCACTAAACATTTAATATCGCAAAACGATATGTACTCTACATAAGACAATTCAACGTGAAGCATATTTTATGAACAATACATGCATTATTACATCAACGCGTACACACAAAATTGATCGGCAATACCATCCCATGCTTGCACTAAACATTTATTATCATAAAATGATATGTACTCTACATAAGACAGTTTAACGTGTAGCAAATGGCTTAGCAAACGTATCCGTCCATAAAACAAACCAAATTAAAAGCATGTCCTCGTTATGAAGAATGTATCTACTACTACAACACACATTACCAAACAACTTGAATTCACTTATTTCTTTACTCTCTTTGCCCTTCCCCTTGTGTATGGAGTCCGGGTAGGTGGTGCAGGACGTCGAACACGAGTCAATCGCCGCTTGTTTGTGCTGCCCACATTGCCTCCCTTTTCTGGTACGGTCACCTGTGTCGGCAACTCTGTGGCAGTGCCCATATAAACAATTTCAGCATTTTTGTGAAACAATTATGTGTGAAGGAGGCCACATATTTGTGGAATCAGATTATTCAAGGAAAATAGGCACGTACTGTCCACCTCCGTGATGTCATGGGTCGATGGGCCTTCTTCGTTCTCGTCGCTAGGGAGGGTGGGGACGGTCTCTCCTGGGTCTAATTGAAAGCAAATTGGGTGAAATAGACAAACACAAGATATGAATTATCATTTGCGTAGGGGAAAATGATTGGTAATAGAATCTAAATCACAGAAGTTGGAAAAAATTACACATGTACCGTTCACCTCCTACATGTCACCCTCCTCTACATGGTCGTCGTCCTGTGGGCTCCGTTCCTCTCCGCCTTCCCCGTCTTCTTGGAAGACAAAGAAAATATTAATGAAGGAGTGAATTTGAATATATATGCATATGACGAGATGATATGACAGAAGTTGAAAAAAATTACGCACGTACCATTCACCTCCTGCATTTCACCCTCGTCCGCATGGTCGTAGTCGTGTCAGCTCTGTTCGTCGCTACCTTCCTCGGCTACTCGAAAACAAAGAAAAAATAATTAAACGAGTGAAATTGAATATATTTGCATGTAACAAGATAAGATGACATAAAATACAAAAATTACGCACATACCGTTCACCTTGTGTATTTCCTCCTCCTCTGCCTCGTCGTCATCATGTGGGCTTCGTTCGTCTTTGCTTTTCCCGTCTAGTTGGAAAACAAAAAAAATTACTTGTCTACTTTGAAACTGAATACAGTTGCATATCACGAGATGAGATGACATCAAATACGAATATGTGTTACACATAACTAATCGACGTACCATTCACCTCCAAGTTCCCGGTAGGCGAAGGACAGCCACCGTCATCTAGGCACAGGTCCATGTCTCCTCCATCTACATCTAAGTGATTTAACAATTTAAAAAATACATTTGTAAGCAAACACATAGGAAAAATTGCACAGCTCTGCAGACAAGTTGTAAGTGGAAGTTACAGTAACATAAACTCATACCTTCGTGGGGGTTGTCCCAAATATTTGGCTCATTCACGACTGAAACTGCAGCGGAAGTGGAGGTGCCACCGGATGGGGGCACCAAGGTAGATATGAAGTCCCTCAGTCTGGCAAACTCCTCGTTCACGTGCTGCATGATTTCAAGTTTCACGGTTCGCAACCTCATCTCGAAGAGGATGCGTTGGTCATACAACATGCCTTCCACGTCGTCCCTCGTTACAGTCGGTCCACAACGAGTACCCTATACCCCAGATGTGGACGGGGCAACCATTGGAGTGGGTAATGCACCCGACTGCCATCTCGAGGCATCCTCGTCATCCTCGGTGTCACCAGCACCGGTCTCGTTAGAAGCGTCGCGATCGCTGTCTCCACTGTCATCAGCCTTAGACCCATCGTCCCCATTGCCCTCCAGTGTCTGACGATCAACGCTCGCGGATGTCTCATCGTCCTCGGCCCCTGCACCGGACTCGTCATCATGCCCGTCACCCACAGCGCTACCCTCATGTCCCCCACTGGCTGGTGCCACCTCATGGAACTGTGGCCCGACAACACTCCTAGCGTGGTCGTCCAAAAATTGCACCGGACGGTCGGGGAACGACACCAAACTGGCGATGTATGGCAGTGTGGCGTACACGTGCAGCTGTAGAAATAGGGGAGAACATATAGTTAAAATATATTGCATACTATTCCCAAGAAAACAAAATAATTGAAAGACAAATGAAAAATGTCCACGACCTGTACGTCCCTGAAGAACGCATCGTACGTACGCTGCTGCGGTTGTTTGGTAGAGGTCCAGCACAAAAGTCGGGGTGAACGTTCACCCATCTGCTCACCGAAGCGTTCGTCGAGTTTGGGCATGGCCTCATATGCCCAAATCTGTCCAGACGATAACAAAAAAAATTGTCGCATTAATATCCATGCAAACACTGTGGAGACATGGTCTAATACTGACAAACAAAACACATAAACATAATGCTGTTCTTACCTGCATGATGATTGAAAATTCGTGAATTGTGTAACTAACGTCCTTCTCGTTTTTCGTCTTTACATCACTCATTTTACGTGCCTAAGTACCCCGGAATCCCTTCAACAAACGCCTATACCCCACTTTGGCCCAGGGGTATAAAAAAATAGCTCCAAGTCGTCCACGAGGGCAAGCGTATCCTCATCAA